AATGGTCGAGTTCAGGATCCTGCGTGGAGGAAGCAGGGCGATAAGCAGGATCAAAACCCTGGACCTCAGGAGGGCTGACTTTGCCCTCTTCAAGGAGCTACTGGGAGGAATCCCGTGGGCCAGGGCTCTCGAAGGAAGGGGGGTCCATGAGTGCTGGTCGCTCTTTAAACAACACTTCTTCCATGCACAGGAGCAATGCATCCCCCTGAGAAAGAAATTTAGCAAAGGAGGCAGGAGACCTGCATGGTTAAACAAGGAGCTTCTAGCAGAGATCAGGCAGAAGAGAAAGGTCCATGGAATGTGGAAAGAGGGACAGGCCACTTGGGAAGAGTACAGAAACGTAGTGAGAGCATGCAGGGATGCGACGAGGAAGGCCAAGGCCCACCTGGAATTGAAGCTGGCAAGGGATGTCAAAAACAACAAGAAGGGCTTCTTCAACTACATCAGCAGCAAAAGGAAGACTAGGGACAATGTGTGGCCACTGCTGAATGAGGCGGGTGTCCTGGTGACGGAGGATGCGGAGAAGGCAGAGCTACTGAATGCCTTCTTTGCTTCAGTCTTCAGTGCTAAGACTGGCCCTCAGGAATCCCAGGCCCCGGAGGTAAGAGAGGAAGCCTACAGAGAGGACGACTTTCCCTTGGTCGAGGAGGACTGTGTGAGGGATCGCTTAAGCGATCTGGATGTCCACAAATCCATGGGCCCCGATGGAATGCACCCACGAGTGCTGAGGGAGCTGGCGGATGTCATTGCTGAGCCACTCTCCATCATCTTTGAGAGGTCCTGGAGGACAGGAGAGGTGCCCGAGGACTGGAGAAAGGCCAATGTCACTCCAATCTTCAAAAAGGGCAAGAAGGAGGACCCAGGGAACTACAGGCCACTAAGCCTCACCTCCGTCCCGGGAAAGGTGATGGAGCAGCTTATCCTGGAGGCCATCATCAAGCAAGTGGAAGAAAAGAAGGTTATCAGGAGTAGTCAGCATGGATTCACCAAGGGGAAATCATGCCTGACCAATCTGATAGCTTTCTACGATGACATGACTGGCTGGGTAGACGAAGGGAGAGCTGTGGATGTTATCTACCTTGACTTCAGCAAGGCTTTCGACACAGTCTCCCATGATATCCTCCTGGGGAAGCTGAGGAAGTGTGGGCTGGATGAGTGGTCGGTGAAGTGGATAGAGAACTGGCTGAATGGCAGAACTCAGAGGGTTGTCATCAGCGGCGCTGAGTCTAGTTGGAGGCTGGTGACAAGTGGTGTCCCTCAGGGGTCAGTACTGGGCCCAGTCTTGTTTAACTTCTTCATCAACGACCTGGATGAAGAGTTAGAATGTACCCTCAGCAAGTTTGCTGACGACACCAAACTGGGAGGTGTGGTAGATACACCAGAAGGCTGTGCTGCCATTCAGCGTGACCTGGATAGGCTGGAAAGCTGGGCAGAGAGGAACCTGATGAGGTTCAACAAGGGCAAGTGCAGGGTCCTGCACCTGGGGAGGAACAACCTCATGCACCAGTACAGGCTTGGGGTGGACCTGCTGGAGAGCAGAGAGGGACCTGGGTGTCCTGGTGGACGACAGGTTAACTATGAGCCAGCAGTGTGCCCTGGCTGCCAAGAAGGCCAATGGGATCCTGGGGTGCATCAAGAAGAGTGTGGCCAGCAGGACAAGGGAGGTTCTCCTTCCCCTCTACACTGCCCTGGTGAGGCCTCATCTGGAGTACTGTGTCCAGTTCTGGGCTCCCCAGTTCAAGAAGGATGAAGAGCTACTGGAGAGAGTCCAGCGGAGGGCTACAAGGATGGTGAGGGGACTGGAGCATCTCCACTACGAGGAGAGGTTGAGGGAACTGGGCTTGTTCAGCCTGAAGAAGAGAAGGCTGCGAGGGGACCTTATAAATGCCTACAAATATCTGAAGGGTGGGTGTCAGGAGGATGGGGCCAAGCTCTTTTCAGTGGTGCCCAGTGACAGGACAAGGGGCAATGGGCACAAACTGAGGCACAGGAAGTTCCGTCTGAACATGAGGAGGAACTTCTTCCCTCTGAGGGTGACGGAGCACTGGAACAGGCTGCCCAGGGAGGTTGTGGAGTCTCCTTCTCTGGAGATATTCAAGACCCGCCTGGACAAGGTCCTGTGCAGCCTGCTGTAGGTGACCCTGCTTCGGCGGGGGGGTTGGACTAGATGACCCACAGAGGTCCCTTCCAACCCCTACTATTCTGTGATTCTGTGATTCTGTGATTCTGTGATTTCAGGTCACCTGAAGGTACAGTCTTGGATGCAGAACTCACATATCAGGTTGCTAGAAAAAAATCTTTGGAGCTGCTACTGCCTGTACAGGAAAGTCTCCGAAGCTGAAGAGAACAAAGTAAACATTTCATTCAGAAATAAAATGCATTGTTCTTCCATAGCTCTAGAGCAAAACAAGAGAAGAATGTGCTTTTGATCCTTTATAGGAGATGGATATGCACCATTCTATGCAAATGCATAAACTGTACATATCTACTCTATAGAATTGAAACCTGTAGACCAGTGCTGTTCTGTTGTATTCTGAAAACACCCGTTTCATTCTGTAATTCAGACTGTGTGCTGATTTGTATGGTGAGTTACACTAATACCAGTGAGGCTTAATATACTGCACATTTCAGACAGAATGACATAGAAAACGCACAAAATAATTTTCATTCTGTTTGTATTCTACTGTTCAACCAAAAAAAGTGTATATTGGTCTCAGTAAATCTGTTCAGAACAACATTTCCTTTGGACTACTCTGAAACTGGAAGGTATTCATATATCATATACTAATCTTTATGTGTATATAAAAAGTTTATCTGTATATGAAATGTGTTTTAAAGGCAATTCCTATGTATTGTTTTTTCGAAAGCATACTGTTATATTATTATGTATAGATATTACAGACAAAAGATCTGAAATTTTTTGTTGTTGTGGATTGAAAATGAAACTTTATAAAGGTTTCTTGATAAGAAACTGTGCCAATACATTGGTTTTCAGATAAAACATATTCTCTCTCTTTCTCTTTTCGGAAATCCATCCTAGACATGGAAGTCTAACTTGTTAAAACATTGATCTAATCAATGCATTTTCACAAAAACCATCAATTTGATGAGGTATTATTTAGCAAAACAGAACTGAAACTGGTTTTATGAAAAGTTTTTTCAGGTCGCATTTCATTAGCTGCATTACTCAAATGCCTAAAATTAAGCATATATTAATTTATAGGTTTGAGATTGACATGATGTGGTATAGTCGAAAATGGAATTTTCACACAGTATAAGCACATGTAACAAATACACAATACCACACTGTACGAAAGCAATTATCAGTTAATAATTCAGATATTTAAATGCTGGGAAAAACTAACTATGTTTTGTCAAATATCTTGAACACGGAAATTCAGTATCATGCAGTTTGCTGACTGTGCTGCGGTTTAAATGTTGACATGGTGACAGAAGGAGGTTCAGTTTCAGATACTTCAACTTTCATTCATGTAGTTTACGACACACCACAGCTTCCTCAAGATATGTTATAAAAATACAGCTCCTTTGAAGAAAAAAAGCACAAGGAGTCATCCAGGCTAATTCAGGATGAGTAATATTTAATAACCAACTGATTGTGAAGACCCAGTGACTTGACAAATGATAAATAGCGTACGGAGTGGAAAAGTCTTAAAGAACATCACAGGTATAGTACCAAAGCAGAAAGTCCCCAGCTGTCTTTTTTAAACTTCTTTGGAGGGGTTTATAAACTTGATAGACATCTATAGGAATTTCTCTTTCTCTTTGCATAATCTTTTCTAACGCACACACCACCTTTTGACATGGGAGTTAGAAGATGTGAAGATTGCACATGGACATCTATTTCTTTGATATTTAAGTGTTAATAAGGCAATAGTACATATATCCACTAGGTCACCACTTTCCAAACTCTCCATTGATATCTCTCCTGTTATTTCAAAATCACCTTTATTGAGATAAGCATCTGCTACATTCCCCTGTCAGAGACAGGATACTAAGCTGAATAGACTTCCAGCTTAATCCAGTCTAGCTGTCATGAAGTCTTACAAACTGTAAATTCCAGAAATTAAAAGGATTGAAATTATTAGTGGAGGTTCAGAAATAGAATACAATCATACAAAATAATTACTGTCAGGACTCCTTCACTTACAAACATATAAAATGCACTTACTTTGAGGGTGAGAAGGGGGAAAAAATCCTTCCATTAGAAAATACAGTCACAAAGCTTTGAACAAAAAAATTCACGCACTGCAGAGTAAACACACACACATACATACATGCTGGCATGCACCTATGTACACGCACACATGCACACATACACACACACACATGCTTAGAGTTTACACTGCATTCTTCTGATGCCATGATTTTTATTTTATTTGTACACCCACCTTTACTGCACATTCTAATCAAACAATAGACAAGAGTGTAAGGACTTTTTTTCCTTAAAACTGCAACAAAACAAGTCTCAACATTTGTAAAACATTCCTTTATTATTAGAAATAAATTATTTTGTATAAAAATTAGCATGCGTTGATCATTGCATTTATTTTAGCGTAACCCAGGACTTAATTCAGTCAGCCGTCACAAGAAACAAACTCTTCTTTTACGAGTTGAACAATGTAGGACAGGAAAGGAAATTGTCACAATCACAAAAAAGTACTTACAGATATAACATCAGACATGATTTATTTCAACAGCATTTTTTATCACAAGCTAACATTTGTTTTCCTTTTGTGATTTACTTCCTTTTGTGAGTGAACTCTTCAGAAGCTGGACACTCTGTCTCTGTGTTATAAAACTGGACTGTTCCTTCCCCTGTCTCTTTTGCCTTTTGCCTCTGTGTAATCCGTGTCCTTTAGGAGAGTGACTATTGATTTGAATGTAGTTTACTGATATTTCCAAGACTGAATTCTCGTTGTGGTACAGTCTATGTTTGCAAGATCCCATCCTGCAGGTCTTCCAGTGAATTTCATCCCTGCTCAGTTTGCCTGACTGCTGTAACTGACATAAGTTGTCTTGGTAGAGAAGGCTGTAAATCAAAAAACCAAAAACAAACAACAACAAAAAATAAAGTTCAGGATTTTTAGAATCGACAAAGGAGAAAAAAAACAAAACATATTTAGCATTTGAACTCAGACAATGTCCAAGTATATTTCCAAATAACATCGCCGGTGTTCATGGAATAAAATAAGAAAGTTTAAGCATGTATATAGGCAGTGAGTAAGCTGGATCTCAGGTTCTGTGTTTTTGATGATAACATTTTGTTTATGACTTGGGGAAGCAGAGGTCAATAGAGAGGAACAATGATGAGTGGTTTTAGCATACTTGTAACAGAATTTCATCATACTGTTTGTCTGGTATTATTTTGGCTGACTTCTGTATAGACTTTTTTAATTTAGAGCTTGGATTTTTCTATCTCCTCTGCTGGTTGAAGGTAATTTTGCAGCTACTGGTGGTTCGTCCATCCAGAAAAAGGCTTATGCTCCTTGAAAGGAGCAAAACCTGATACGGGAACCATCTCTCCAAGTTAGTGAAACAGAGCAGCTAGTGCCTACAGCACATATTCTCCAGACACTCTTCAGACACAGAGTATCTACATAGCAGTGAGCCAGCAGAAATGCTTATGAGACCCTAGGCTGTGTTTTAGAGCTGCCATGCTATTACGCTCTCCTTATGTTGATGGTCAGCTAATTATGTCTTCCTCTGAGCAAAGCTGACACCCCTTGTTCAGAATGAGGTAGTATGTTGAGAAAGTTAAACATTTCTATTATTGTAAAAGAGAACAACTGTGAATCATACAGGGAAGTTTACATCATCTTCTATGCCATTGTATCTTACCCCTTTGCTGTTAAAAATATGGCCCAAGTCTCCACTGCTGTGTTAACGTAGTGGTGGGAAGACAGAAATGGTGACACTAGGTCCCACAGTTAGCTCCCTAATTTTAAACCAGTTGGCTACATGGCAAATCAGTCTGCTGGGGGACTAAGTCTCTTTTTTGTCTCTGTAATAAGGTCTATGTCATACAGCATACAGAGGAATTTGGCTTCCCAAATAAGTTTTATATTCCATCTGCTACAGACATGTTCTGCTTATGTTAGTGAAGACTACAACTGGCAGGATGAAAATAATTTCATGGCACAAAAGTTGTCTGGTCTCTAGATTCAAAGATCTTCATTCTGTTCCCATATGTTCCTTCCTTCCTTCAGTTTCTTTTTTTATATAGAATCTGGTGGGAAGAGCTGAGATAGATACGTAAAAGATTCTTCATTCTACCTCCTAAATCCAGTCTAACAATCTGATGATTTGGAAAGAACAGAGTACAGAAACCAAGAAACTACAGCTTGTCTGTCCTGAACCAAGGATTAAACTAAATCAAAGATGACTAAAATTTCTGCAAAATAATACTAGGTAGCATAAATAACTAAGTTTGCTGCTTGCTTCATCTTCATGTTTTCTTTGGATTTCTGAGCAATTTGATTCTGATATTACATTTGACATTTTGTAAGACACAACAGAACCAGACCATTATAATTCACATATAACTATAACTTTTGTTCCCTAAGAATGTATATATAAGAATGAATAATCAAAAGCAAGCTGCATAACATAGTATTTCTTACTTCCACTTGCACAGATAGCTCCAGTACTTTGTGCCTGGAGGAGCTAATTCATGACAGGATTGCTTTTGGCACATTAAGCAAATATTTCACAAAATCAATCACAGTATTCAAGCACCAACATGAAGTAGATTTATTTGCCGGTATTGGGACACTTGAAGCAAATATAGCCTCATTTACATCTTTCAGATCTTTCAGAAGGAATGTACTGCTCCCATCTGAACTCTCCCATGCTCCTACAGCTGGATTTCTGAGAGGATTCTATTTTTCTTTTGGCCTGTTAAGCTCCTTCGAAAATAATGCAGGACTGCTGAAATGGTATGGAGTTCCTCAGAGCATAAAAGCATTTGTTCCCAACTAAGAAATAACAAATAAATGCACATCTGCAAACTCTGCACGCTTGGGAACAAAAGGACAGAGGGAACAAAGCTTATTTTTTTCCCTCACCATGAAAACAGGATCGGTTAGGTGATCAGGTTAGGTTAAGCTAGCTTGCCACATTACCCTTTATCAGCTGAGTTCTATGATAACTTTTCATGTATATGTTTTTAGCCCACAGCGATGTAACATAATCGGATTTATCACAACCCAGTAAGCTGAATTATGTGAGGACATTTGCAAGAAGCTCAAAATGCAAAAATAAGTAGTTACTGCACCTCAGCTGATTGAGAGCAACTTGTGAATTTGCTGTAACATTGCTGTGTATCTAAGACTTAAATAGATTTGACAGAATTAATCTAGGACTGATCAAGAAACAAAAGTTTTCCTACTGAGTTTCAAGTGTTGTTACTTTAAAAAATGACAATGCAGGAAACTAGTGTAGATAGTAATTTTAAATGCATTAAATCTAATCTCTTCTGCAAACAATGTTTTTTTACTTGATAAATATTTCAAGTGTCTTCATAGTTCACTGTAATAAGCCTAGAGTTTCTGTCTGGGGATCTGAAAGCTTCAGCAGCTGCTGTCCTGCTCTTTAAGACTGTTAGTATTTCATAGTAAAAACATGAACCAAATTTGGCAAGCTTAGATGGCCAGAAAAAGTAACAGACTTGGCTCAAAATATTTCTGGGTATGAACAACGTTTTCTAGCTCCAGTTACCACATTGCTGTTGGAATGAGACAAAAAGAAAAAGAATAATATAAAAGAGGATCTAAAGCAATTTAGAGTGATTATTGACATCTCACCTGTATGCATTTAAAGTCATTGCTATGCCTTCTATAATTATATCTGGATTTGTTTTTTCATCCAGATTCCCAGATACAATTTGTTTTCCACTGAATATGAATGCAGTTCAAAAAAAAAAAAAAAGACTGTATTCGTGTCAGGGACAACATGGAGTAAAGTCTGTCACATGGAACAGGACAAACCAGACAGAGCAGATTCGTCTCTGGTTGAGAAGCAAAAGGAATTACCTGACTGTATCATCTTCTTCCTTACCTAGTTATGAGCATTGTTATCACCACCAGTATCTGTGCTTGGGAAATAACGGGAAAAACTTACTACACAACTCTGGTTTACTAGGAATAGCCTGATTTTTTGTGATCAGGTTCATATACTGCCAAAGAGAAGACAGATCTACCTCACACAGAGTCAGTGCAAGGCATTTTGCAGTGTTGAGAAGTTGTTACTATGGACCTAGTGAAAAGGTCTTATGTGGAATTATGCACTGATAATTCACAGGAATGATCAAAAGTTTGACAATAACTAATTTGGCAGAAAAGAGGGAAGATGCTCAAATCCAAATGGTACAGAATAATTTTGGGGAAGAGAAAAACCCATCTTGAGGCCAAGAGCTGTATTATATAGGGACAGCTTTCTGGAGCGCAAATGAATTGACTCTGAATTTTTGCCTATGGAAGTATTATGATGCCTGGATCAAAGCCTAGTCAGGATATACTCCTAGTGAGCTCAGAATTATATAGATGTGCTACTGTTAAAATCTTGTTTGCAGCACAGTAAATAAGCATTACCCTGCATACCTCACACTACTGGAGAAGCGGACTTGTTTCCAATAGCAGCTATTTCTATGAATTATGCATAATAATAGTTTAAGGAATATCAGGCACAGCATTTCTTAGTTAGGCACAGTAGATAAACATCAGATACCCAAGACTTTCTTAGTAACGCTCTTTCTCACCCTACTGTGGGATCTCTCCTTTGACATTTCGTCAGAAAATTATAATTTTGCAAACTCAGCAAAATCCACATCACTTTCCCTTCTGAATTTTATTTTCATGGCTTCTGAAGATTTGAGAAATTACTGAGTTCTTCGTATTTCCATACTATTATTTGTTCCACAAGGAATTTCATTGCCTTTCTCCTTTTGTCCTTTGTTATATGTCATAACCTGAAGCTGTATAAACCCTTAGCTCAGTCTAGCAGATATACACATTTTGAAGGGTCATGAGTTTTTTAAGTGAATTGGTTTGCACTCAGTAGCCTCCAAGCATCAGCAACTATAGTATGGTAAACTTATGGACTATATTTATACAGTCTTCGATGTGGCAAACTCTGATTGAATTCAGTGGGGGGTTGCATTTTTCTGAAAAAAGTACAATATTTTTCTGCAGACTAGGTACTGACTTGTCTGAATGTGCTCAAGCAAAATAGTACTATTCAATCTCCTGTCAACATCATCAGAAAGTAATAAGAATTCAAAAAACCCCTCATTTGCAGTAAAATGACTGAAAAAAGGTCTTTAATTATAACAGCTGACGTCCATCCCACGTGACCTCTAACTCCTTAATAGAAACCAATTCTCCATTACTAAGCTCTGGGGGTAAAGTTGCTGGCTTTATTCATATTTGATTATTCTTGTTGTGAAGTCCAGTTTATAAGAGAGTGTGTCTTCATGCGGTGGAATGGAAGCTGTAACCTTTGTTTTCTTCTATACCAGAGCAATTTAGAGACAGGGAAAGAATGAAGAACTTTTCTGACATGGGAAAGAACTTCTTCCCATTACTACCCACGACATACCAGAACACATAATGATTAAGCAGTGTATGAATTACCATGATTTTTTACCAAAATGAAGAAAACCACAACAAAGACCTGGATGGGAAATGTTATTCTGGGAAGTGTTAGTAGTCATGAGTTGTGATAAATGAAAAAGTCAACAAATATTGAGATGGAGAGGTAGAAAGCATTATTTTCACTTCCATGCCTAACTGCAAAATAAAAGCAATGTTAACTGGTTTTATTATTTTTTTTTCAACAAGCTTTAGTTTTGAATATACAAATATGACCATAAAAACACCTGATGAACTGTCAGGACATACCACAACTGGCACAGCAATGCACAACACATCAAATTAGCACTAGCTAAAACAGATCATTTTCAAAAGATGTGCCTTTCCAAAATCTGCTTGTGCTTTTTTTTTTTTTTCACTAGCCTCCTGTGAAAAACAATTTGTCTGAAACACTTTCATGCAGAAGAAGAAACAAAAAGAATAGATTTTATTATTATTATAAAGTGCATTCTTGTGAACGTACATCTATTAGGAAGTGCTGCCACTCTTGACCATGGGAAAGTCTACAGATGACTTACTGTTGGTTTCAAGACTTTCACACAGTTCAGTTTTGACCTCGCCATTTGGTCTGTCATTTCCTTTTTGGGTCAGTTTGCTTTGCATTGTGGCAGCTGTCACTACAGCCTTGAAGCTCCGCTTCCGTTTTTGAACATTCTGCTCTGGATGAAAAATGATAATATAAACCTTGGGCATGTAGAGCATGCCCAGAGACACAGAAGCACTTAAACTCATGGAGACAGTAAGTGTTGTTGTCTGGATGTACATCTGGGGAAGGAAAGAAACAACAACATAAAAATCATTGTTATATTGATTAAATATAAGAAGGAAACCAAAGTAATTATCTTAAAATATTAGGTGGAAAGGGAACCAATAACAGTCTTCCTTTTCTGTAGGTATTATCAGAAGGACCCTTAACTTTGGTTGCCTTTAATTATACGAAGTATGGCTGTTTCATGTTGTTTTTTTAACCTTAAGAGTAGGTGGTAGAAACAACCTAATATTTATTGAACTTCATTCTCATAAAAGTAATTGAGATGCTGTAGCAACTACATTTTCAGAAAAGAAAACAAATATGCCTGTACAGGAAAAGAGGAGTGACAATAGGGTTAGCCTTATATCGTCTACTTTAACACACTGAAGCCTCTACAACAAGGTGCCCCATGGTGATTCAGTAGTGTGTGCAACATGGCTCAACCGGCAGCAGGCATAATGCATAATCCAACGAAATCTTTGATATATTCTTGGAGTTTCAAGCTCGGGAAAAAAAAATAAACGTTCTCCATAGTGAAGCTTGAATATTACTGAGTTTCTTGGGGTTTTCTTTTATTTGTTTTTAACATTTCCACCTTACTGCTTAATTCTAGTCACAACTTTTTTGGCATGGCCAGTGTCATAATAAACCAGAAAATCAAGGAACCGTGACATCAGGTCATGAAGGACCTCAGTCCCCTACAGATAAAAAGGAAAAATCTGACATTTCTGAGTGATTCTGTCTATTGTTTATTATTACCTACAGAAAGAAAGCAACTCTGGTCTTCCATAGTCCCATAAAAGAAAATGACAATGATCACTCCATAACAACACCAGAGACAACTTTCTATTTGGAGAAGTATTCAGATAGTATATTAGAAATACTAATTTTAGTTCTGCTGAATATTTCTTTTTTCTTAGGAAATTATGTTTTATTAGACATTTTATGAAACGACAATTTTATTTTACAGTTCTGTGTGATTTCCTAAACTAAGTAGCAAATCTCTCGGTAATCATGTTGTTATCATGAAACAGATACTGAAGTAAAACCTGCTCATTGCCTTGGCAGAGAATTCACTGACATTGTTGTCAGGCATGATTTTAAGCACTGGCCGGTACTAGCATGTTAACCTGGAGATAGGGTAGTAAGGCTGTCTGCAATGTCAGCTTCAGATCATCTGCTTTTATTAAGTGCCCTTGGGTAACTTGGCCCTTGGCAGAAAAGTAGAGATATAATAAAATGGTGTGCCACCACTACTATAGTTGAACACTTTTTAATGTCTTCCAGTTTACAAAGTTTTTTCATTAAGATACTTTCTCCTTGGAGATCACAAATAAACTGTTCTCTCACTTAAAGCAGTGAAGAAATGTAACAAATGTATTTGGGAAGCGTGGACTCTCACCCTGAATCACCTTGCAAAGTATCTCTGTAATCGTACAGAAAACTGCCTTATATTACCATAAAAAGAGGGATAGCCCAATCTAAGAAAAGGCTGACAATGCTTGAAAATTTTTAAGAAGCTGAACCTGCTTTCAGGGACAGAACCAGTCCTGCACTTGGGTCACAACAACCCCATGCAACACTACAGGCTTGGGGAGGAGTGGCTGGAAAGCTGCCTGACAGAAAAGGACCTCGGAGTGCTGGGTGACAGCCGGCTGAACATGAGCCAGCAGTGTACCCAGGTGGCCAAGAAGGCCAACGGCATCCTGGCTTGGATCAGGAATAGTGTGGCCACCAGGAGTAGGGAGGCGATCGTGTCCCCTTACTCAGCACTGGTGAGGCCGCACCTCGAGTACTGTGTTCAGTTTTGGGCCCCTCACTACAAAAAAGACATTTAGTTGCTGGAGCATGTCCAAAGAAGGGCAGCGAAGCTGGTGAGGGGTCTAGAGAACAAGTCTTATGAGGAGTGGCTGAGGGAACAGGAATCGTTTAGTCTGGAGGAGGCTGAGGGGAGACCTTACGGCTCTCTACAACTACCTGAAAGGAGGTTGTAGTGCGGCAGGTGTTGGTCTCTTCTCCCAACTAAGTAGCAATAGGATGAGAGGAAGTGGTCTCATGTTGCATCAGGGGAGGTTTAGATTTGATATTAGGAAATATTCCTCTAATGAAAGAGTGGTCAGGCACTGGAATAGGCTGCCCAGGGAAGTGGTGGAGTCCCCATCCCTGGAGGTTTTTAAAAAGCATGTAGATGTGGCACTTCGGGACGTGGTTTAGTAGGCATGTGTAATGGATGGCCTTGCTGGACTTGTCAAATGCAAGAGGAAAGACAAACTCGGACTGAGGTGTCTCTCGACTGAGGTGTCAAGAGCCCAAGAGCTAACAAAGGAAGTAATTAACTGGTGCTTATCTTATCAGACAAAAGTAAGGGGGGATAGCCCATCACTGTAAAC